TTATGGATTCATATAGCTAGAAGGGCTTCTGGCCTATGATTGGGATCTTTCTGGATATCTTTTTCGAATTTGACCCTGGAACCCCCAATTTTGCTCTACTCAATAATTAACATATATGAAATTTTTAGAAAGTGATATTGAAGAGGATATAACAAATGATTTTGGTCTATTTAATGCTTTGACAGATATAATATTTAAAAATGAATTTATTCAATATGTTCAAAATCGGAATCCAAATCTTTGCAAATATCCTCATCTATATAATTTTGTAAAAAATCGAATTTGGTATATAATAATTCACCAGCAGCAGATTGAAGGACTATTCAACAAATATGATCTTAAAACTTATCAGAATATGAAATAAGAATTACAGCAATCAAAACTACGGCTTTCTATTGGCTCTAATTCATTTGAAAATATTAGCAAATCCAGTATTAAAAAGGTCCGGTATAACCGGCAGAAATTAAATGATCGTCAAAAAAATCTCTAATAGTAAGTTTACTATAGGACTATATATAGTTTTGTTAAACTATGTTGACAGCGCACCCCAGTGCGACATGTCCAGCGCTTGTTATCATTTTTAATTTGTTTTTTGTTTGTAAAGTTTTCATTAGAATAAACACCCTCTTTAATATAATATGGGTAAAGCTACGTTTAGTGACATTAATTACACATTTTAATGGATATATGGTCTTCTCAATTTGAAATTTATTTTCAATATTTTTTTTTTATCACTAATATTAGACATTAAATAAAACATAAAAAAAATGATAATCTTACGATTTTATTTTATGTTTATTTTATTATGAAAAATAAATTATTAACTTTAACAAATACAAAAAAAAATACTTTTTGTGAAATAAAAATAGGTTGAACTCATACACATGACCTACAATTGCAGATCAGGCTCTTATCAAAAAGATAACCCAAATTTCCACCCGAACCCTTCTTGATATAACTATATATACGACCACGCCCAATTTATCATTACAAAAACAACCCTATACAATTACTCTGGGTGATTATTTTACAGTTGGAATTAAAAATCAGCGTTAAATCTATTTAAGAGAATTATTACTGAAGAGAACAAACTGAGATTCATCACTAAAACTACACTAATTTTAGGGGATAAAAAAAAAAGAACCACCTGCAGGAGGAGTGGGATGTGGAGGATCATTCACGGTTTGCCTTTCGTTAATATTCCAAGTGAACATGTGTTTTTTTATCATTTCCTTTGTTTCATCAGATGTTCTTTTTTCTTTTTTCGCGCTACTTTTTGATGATCTCTTTTTTTTTGGAGAAAATTTGTAATCAGGGTATTTGATTTTATGGTTTTGAAGGTACATATCGGCTAAAGTCCGAAAAAATGATTTACTATCTGGGGATAAGCTCTTCCATGCTTCCGAAGCCAACGTTGATATCATACGCATGCTAATCTTTTCTTGATCACACTGATCCTTGTTCGTTATTACGAAGTAATTACGAAAGATTATAAAGCAATTAGGTGGCCTTGGAACTTTGTTATTGTTCCTTTTTTTTTCTTTTGGTGTAATCAATTCGCTAATCAAGGAAAGTTCATAAGTTGTTAATAATTGATGTGATTCTTGTTCTTGTATGAACAACGAATCAACTTCATTGTGAATTGTAAATTCGCGTTGTGTCATATTTTACGAAACAAAATTATGAGTTGGAAAAAAAAAGGTAAGGAAAAAGAGGAAATTTTAGAATCTCCTAAATGATTTTAAAGGCAACATTTTATAGTTAAAAAAAAAAAAAAAATGTCACCTTCGGACTAATATCATCAATAACCGAAATGGTAATTTTTTCGGAGCGATGGGTTTTGATATGACTAATTCTTTATAAGATCATCTGAGATACAATATTTTTTTTAATACGCGTTATAAAGATGGCGTATAATTAATACAAAAATGTTAGCCTGTGAGACCGTTTCTCAATTTTTTTTTAAAAAACTTAAACCTTAAACAAAGAAATGTGAGGAATTCATTGGAGAAGAAAGAATAATGAATACATAAAAACATGGCACAATATACGTAAAAGCACAACATCATATACTAAAGTTTAAAACAATAAAAAAGTCACGGACCGTGAAAAGTTCTAGATAAAATATCCTTCATTACAAGATAATGCGGCTAATATTGATAAATAAAGGATTCGATTATGAAGATAACAATTATGTTGCTTGCAGCACATAAGTTTACTGATTTTGATGATTTTAAAGTTTAATTTACACTTAAATGAAACTAGCATAATCTATTTCATTATTTTTTATGTTAAACTTAAAAAAAAAAATATGCAAAGGGATTGAAAAGTACTCCTGAATCATTCCTTTAATTGAATCAATGACACATATCTTTATCGTTAAAAAAGTAAACCAAGTATTTCTTGATAAAAAGAGCAAGGACGGTTTCAATTAATCTTTTTTAAGTTTAGGGTCCCAATAAAAGAAAACTTTTTTTTATTTTTATTAATTAATTTTTTTTTTTTCCTTTTTTTGAAGTGTTTTAAATACAATATTCATATAAAGATTTTGTGATATGTTTAAATACATATTTTCTAAATATTAGAACCACCGAATTTGAATAAATATATAAAATAATATCTACCACTTTTTCTCGCGTTCTACTTGTTCCTGTAATGATGGAAAGCATCACACAGAGCTAATAATTGTGCCTATATAAGGAAATTTTGGGAAAATTCGGATAGTCAATATGAGTATTCCGGTGATAAAAACCTTTATTAATTTATTAAGTACATTCCAATTATTTAGCATTTGATTGCTTAAAAAAAAAAGAAATTCGATTACTTTACAGAACGAAAATATGTTTAGGTACTATGGATTCTTGGTTCTCAAGTTAGAACTCGGTCAATTCGGGATTCATAGATAATGGTTGAACGTTAATTTGTGCGACGCTTGTTGGACAAATAAATAGTAAATTATCGGCATTTTTGGATTTTAGTATTGTCAATGAGTATGTTTTTGGTTCTGAGAATTCTAAAAGACAAATCAAGTTTTTTTTTTAAAAAAAAAAACTTCTTGCTTGTGGTTTTTTTTTTTTTTAATCATTGATTGTACCGTAATACATTTTATAAGGTTTCACGTCACGAGTTAACACAATAGCGTCTTACAATTATTGTAATACGATATACTTGTACAAGGACAATGATCCGAGACATATTCCTCAATTAGTCGAACAACATACTTCATATAAAGTGTAACATTTTGAAACTTCGCTCTAGCGATGTTTAATTATCAAATTTCCGAGTATGAATATTAACAAACCAAGCATTTCCAATTTACAAGTGGCTTCAATCTTTTGGTTCCATCTGAATTACATATTAAGAGAACAGTAATGCTTATTATATCCTATTTTAGTAATAAACATTATATATGGCTAGATGTCATACAATAAAAATATCCCAGTTAAGATATATGATGTCAAACCGGTTTTAATGTTTCTATTGACGAAGCCCCATATGGGCAAAATGTACCTCCGAGGAATATCTCACTTTTTGGAATTGGTATTTTGTACGACTCTAAGTCATATCGTTCTAATTTTAGATTGCCGATCTTTTAAAATCATAAAAAAAAAAGAGATTTTTAGAGGAACATTTTGCTAGTCCATGATATATTATAAAATAGATCTTAAAATATAATTTGTAAAGAAAATTTTTGTAATAGTTTTTCCTACTCTTATATTATATATAAAAATCAGAAATTATTGGTTTGGTAATTTTGATTCATTATAATAAGGATTCAAAAAAAATGAGTATTTCTTAATATATCAATTTAAATATTAAAAAAATAAAGTATGTTATGCTATTATTTACAATCAATGCAATATTTGTTTATTATTTATTATTTACTTATTATAGATTATATTATTTTTTTTATTGTAATTATATGTAATATTTAAAAACAAAAAAAAAATATAATTAAAACTAATAAACTCATTTATATTTAATTGGATTAAAGATTCCAATTTTATATTCCAATACTTTATATCTAATACTCTTTAAATTTTTTTAATTCTTTATTAGTTATTTCAAAATTTTTTGATAAAATTTAATTACATTTCTATGTTAATTAATACTTCTATTAAAAAAATGTAAAAATAGTTTCTTCATCTTCTTAAAAATCATTTATATTAGAATTCAGCACTATTATTTTAATAATTTTATCATCTAACAAAAAAACTTATTATTATTATTTAATTTATCAGTATCTATATAATCAGCTGCAAATATAAAATTATCAAATGGTAATTTACTTATTACATTTTTAGTATTATTACCTTCTTTATCTGATTCATTATTTTTAAATAAAAGAATTATAGTTTTCTTTTAACAGCTTTTAATTATAATAGATTTAATTTAGCTTCTATATTTTTATAATAAATTAATAATAATATGAATTATAACTGAAGCTGTTTTATTATTTAATTCTTATATTAAATTATATACTTTTAATTTTATTTTTTACTAAAAGCTTTCAATATTAAATAAATTAATTATTATTATATCTAAATATTACAAATATGATATAATATTTAGTGATAAATAAAATAATTTAATATTATTAAAATAAGAAATTTTTTTTTCTTTTCTATAAATAAGAGTATTATCTATTAATAAAAGAACATCTTTTTTTAGCATATATTAAATTTTTCAAATAGTCTAACTAAATTAATTGTTGCATTTATATAATCTTATTTTAGTAATAATTTATATGTTTTTTAATAGATATATGAGTTGATTGCTAGGAAAATCAGATTCTGAAAATTTTTTAGCAAAATTGAGATTTTTATTACATTTTAGTTTTTAATGTTATTAGATTAAAATGTATTAAGCTCTTAATTTTAGTCAAAAATTTCTCAGAATCTGATTTTTCTAGAAACATTCACATATTATAAAAAGACTAAAGGTTTTTATACTTAAATATAGATAATAGTTTGAATTATTATTTCTTGTAACATTATAAATTAATAAATAGTAACACTTTTTTTAAATTTTTTATTTTACAGCTGATTTTATTATTTAGTAACATTTAATATATTTTTATTTTTGTGATTTTATGATATAAGACATATGACATAATAACATTTTTAAGATTTTTTCTAATTTTTTACATTAATTATCATAATATATAAAAATTATTATTTATAAATATATAAATATATAAATTTGTAACATATAAAATATAAATAAAAAAAATAACTTTTCTATTAAAAATAAAATCTAAAATAAAATTAATTTATTATTTAAATTCATATTTTGTATATTTAATATATATTTGAATATATAAAGATCTATTACTAGTCAAATAATGAAGAATCAAAATACTAAAAGTCAATTAAGAATTATAGCTAATCAAGTTTTGATTTCTTATCAACTCTTATTTTTCTTATCATTAAATAATCAGAATTATAATAGGCCTATGAGCTTTATTTTATGAGATACTGATAACTTTTAAAGTATATCAAAATTAAATAAATAAAAAATAGATTTTCTGATTAATAATAAATAAATTTCTGATTTATTATTAAAATATCAATAAAATTATTAAAAATATCTGATATTTTAATAATAATATTTAATGAATTTATATTAGATTGATTATATTGTAAAAGGATCACAATAATAAAAAGATATATTTGTATATAGTATTTAAAATAAACTATTGATTTATTATTATAATAGATTTATTAATTATAAAAAATGGTTTTATTCTCAATAGTAATAAATAAAATATTATTTTTTGTTGAAAAGATATATTTTGTATCATAAATTTATATATAAATCTCTTTATTTATTGGTATTACTGATATATAATTTTGTGATTTTTTTGTCTATTGAAAATGAATCTGCTACAAATTAACCTAAAATACTATATGGGAAGTTTGCTAGGAAAATGGGGTTCTGGGAATTTTTTTGACTAAAATTAAGTCCTTATTATATTTTAATCTAATAACATCAAAAACTAAAATGCAATAAAAAACAAAATTTTGTTAAAAAATTCCCAGAGTCCCATTTTCCTAGAAAACCTTCCATATGTTAAGAAAAGACCATATTGCAAAAAAATTAAAATTAAAATAATAAATATTCTGGATTAGGTTAATAATACTGAATTTAGTTTATTTAAAAACTTGAATTTATTTATAAAAATTTATTATAAAATTTATTTTATTAAGAAAAATAATCAGAATTTTCAATTAATTAAAAAAAATATCTAAAAATAATTTTGATTGATTTTAATAACTTAAATATATTCTAAAAGAAAATAAAAAAAAACCTCATTTAAATTAGTTTTATTAATTTATTATAGATTAATTTTTTAAATAAATAAAAAATAATAAAAAAATAATAAAATCATTTAATATAATATTTAATTTAATTTAAATATACTTCTAAAAATAATATTTTAAAATAATATTTAATTATATTATAAAATTTATTTATTAGTATTAATTTTAGAATTTTAAGCAATTTGGCTTAATTTCTATTATAATATTTTATAATCAATTATACTATCAAATATTTAAATTAATATTATATTTTATAATCTTTTTAATATTAATTTTAGAATATTAATTTTATACTTTATAGTTTATTTATAAAAAATTGAGAAAATATAAAGTTATAAATT